ACTCTAAGCTGTTCCTTATCCTCCTTATCTCCTCATCCTCCATGATAAATTTTTACCTATTGGGGGAAGGATACTCAAGGAAGTAGTATCTTCTTGTGCTTTTTGGAAGAGAGGACAATATCTAGAGTAAATTCCTTCAAGGAGTCTGCCACCTGTCTTCAGCTATGCTCTGACACCACCTAATAGCTTTTATAAAGAGGAAATTTCCCATATGCCAAAGAAAATCCTTTCCATTCAAGGGAACTTGGCATTATGTTGATTATGAATTCTTTTTTTCTATTTTTTTATGTTTAGGTAATTGGGGGTTAAGTGACTTGCCCAGGGTCATACAGCTAGTAAGTGTCAAGGGTCTGAAGCCAGATTTGAACTGAGGTCCTCCTGACTCCGGGGCCGGTGCTCTATCTACTGCTCCATCTAGCTGCCCCTTGATTATGAATTCTTGAAGGGGCTTTGGGAAACTATGCGAAATTGAGAGGCCAGCATTCATGACATATTAAAAACAAGGTTTCCCACCCTATTTCTTCTTCACTGGTCTCAACCATGTCCACACATGAAACAAGTATTGTATTATGTTGGTCATTCTGAACTGCACACCAAATTATATAAGGTCCACATTTGTTTATATAAAGAGTTATTTGCAGGTAGTAGGGATCTGTGTGATTGAACTAGATGATGTGTGGTTTCTTCTGTCTCTTAGGATTCTTTGGTTCTATGATTTTTTTCTGCATTAGAACTGTAAAATGCAACAAATTTGATTTAATTTAACAAATTCTTTTTGGCAATGGAGTAACAGTTCTCTAGTTCAAACCATCATGCTTCCACACATCCATGCAGAACTAGTAGGAAAGTATGTCTTTGATAAAGCAAGCAATAATTCTCCCCCAATTTTTCTGTCAGGCATAATTAGTTCTGCACTGTGATTTCATGTGTATACAGAACTTCCAGTGCAAAAACTCTTCACAGATGTGGGTTAGCAACTTATTTGTAATTAACAATTCTCTCTCTTTTAAAAGTGTCATTTTTACATCATATTTGTTTATAAATACACCTATTCACTCTCCAAACCTAGCCAGCATTCCTTCAGAGCAATTTTTTTGAGTTCAGCAAAGCCAAACAATACATAGACTATGCTTTTCATCATATGCAATATTTCACACCTATCATTCCATACTTCTCTGATGAAAGAAAGGAGGTGCATTTTATTTGGGATCAAGTTTGGTCATTATAATTTTACAAGGTTCAGTTTCATTTTATTACTGTTTACATTTGCCAAAAATTTACATTAACCATGAATAAGGTTTCAATAGCATCCCACAGTACCCCAGTGTGGTTAGGAAAATGAGTTTTGATTTTTTCCTAGGGATGCAACGAACTAAGCCCCGACTAGTGTTGCCATTTCCAGCCAAATTTTGCTGTGAATCATCTGCTGTTCACTGCTTAAGTCGTATACACACTCCCTTCTCTCAGTCCAAACATCAGCAATTCTGGGTGAGCATTACAACTGACAGCTGTTCTACAGAGCTCTGGATCTAGTTTCTCTCCTATCCAATGCCCTTTCCTCTCAACCCCACTCCACCCACTGCTCTGGTTCCCGGTCTCTGTGATGCCTGTGACCTTTACCGAGATTCATGTAGGGTGCTCTGCCTCAGCGGCTCCAAGTGATGACTCCTAGGAACTTCCCAAGAGCTAAGAAGCAGCAGGATCCAACAAGTCAGGGGGAGGGGGAATGGGGAGGGGTATGAAAATGTATCGGGGGCGGGACTGACTGAGAGCTGGGTGAGCTTCCTTGATGCGTTTGTCCTCCAAGTGTTCCCTCAACTTGGAAGTTAAAAGGATGCCTTGCTTAGGAACTGTTTCCCAGCGGGAGAGTGCGATAGTGATAACCAGAGCCTCCCCCTCCTTTTCTTTGCGTCCTCCTCTCCCCTTCCATCTCCTCCTCCTTTCCCTTTCCCACTCCGTTTCTCTCTATCCCAGTCACTCCTTCCTTTCTTCCTTTCTCCCTCTTCTTTTTCTTCTTCCTTACCTTCCTTCCCTTTTCCCCATTCCCTCATCCACAGCATGAGAACTGGAAGTGGTCGAAAGAAAATCCAAGAACAACACCCGATCTATCCCCAATTCTTTTGAAAATGTCTGCTCTCGCTTCACTTTACTGAGACGGGAGCTTGGTTGGTATTTCAGTTAGCTGTCTGACAGCAATTTGTGCCTCAGGGTTGAGTGCTGGGCGTCACGGTACTGAAGAGCTCTCTGCTGCTTCTTCTTCTGTGCTGGACAGCACCTCTGTACCTCTTTCCCTGGAATTTGACATCGGTGTCCAGTATCCAATCCCTTTGCATTCATTTTGAAACCATGCATCTAGGGAAAGGGGAGTTGGAACTCGAAGGAAAATAGCTCTTTGGCGCCAAAATTTTGCAAATACTCCATGCCAGTGCTGTTCCCATAACACCCCATGGCTCCTTCCCTCTACATTTTAATTTCTGATGATTAGTCTCCTTGACATAGGTATCTGTTCTGTACCTGTCTGTGAAAAGTATCTCTCCAGAAAGCAGAGGCTTTGTTCAAAAAACCCACCAGATCATTTCCCGTCCCCATTCACTTTAAACTGCACCTGTGTTCAAACATGCTAGCTCTAACCAGTGCCGTGGTGATTTCCTTTAACCTGGCTACTAGTGTCAAGCCAGGCTACTTCTCCCATCTCAAATGCACAGTAGACTTTCTCCGAGTCACAGAGTGAGCAAAATTCGGAGATGTCAGAAGAGTTGTGGTATCGGCTCCCCCAAAAGAATAATGCCCTCAGGAAAATCTCCTCAGCCTGTAAAGGTGTCTTTTCAGATTAAAGAAATCATGTGACTGAAGATGCCTTTTTGAAATGAATGCACATTTTAAAATCAGGATTCTTTGATAGAAGAAAAGAAGGAGGGAGATAAGGGAAATTCCTGGTAATTTTATTTATGTTAAAATTCCATAGATTTGGGTGCTCCTATTTTTTTTTTAACATCAGCAATAGAAAGTATGACATGCAAAAACATCATTGGCCTGTGAAAGAAAATCAAAATTCCCCGTAGGCGTCAAGGTACTTTATATGTAGGAGTCAGCCAAGCTCTGATGATCAACAGGGAGACTCCAACTTCTGGAAACAACATGGGTGAATATAAGGCAATTTGGTGGTATTCATTATTGAGAGGAAGAGAAGAGTCTGTCAGCACTGAGCTAGTTCAACCAAGTGCAGTACTTCAAAGTCTAGGCATTGTATATTGGTGGATAGAACATGGGGATAAGACGAGCTAGGGGATTCCAAGTGGGATGGCTGAGTCTTAATATATTTGTTTTGGTAGTTTTTTTCAGGTTGATCACCTTATTTCAACTGATTGGAATGGTGTTATCCTACAACTTCAGTAGCTGTAATCACTACCAAATGGCAAGTGACTATGAAAATACAATATATAATAAGAAACTGGAAACTTTGTATTATTCGGAATCGGTGAGTGACAGGATTTAGGATAAATCTCTGTAGAAACACTAAGTGCAAAGAAATATTTTCCAGTTTTTAAATTTAAGAAAAAACACAATGGTCACTAGGACACCAGGAAACAGGAAATAACTGAAGCATAGGTTTTTATGGCCTTCCTAAGAGAATCTGTTTCAGAATCATCCCAGGGAAAGCTTGTGTCTGTGACTTTTTGGAAGCAGTAGAGAGATTGTTCTTTATTTTATTTAGAATTTTATTCTAAGCCAATAAAATGTGAAAGAGTCAATATAGTCAAATATAGTCAATAAATCTAATGCATGGTCAATATGTGAATAAGGATGTTTTGTTGAATGTGAGCATGTTGTGTGGAGAGGGAGGTCTACTCCAGACCAAAAACTTTTTGTGTGTGTTGTGTATATATTAATTAAAAATACACATTCTGACTTTTGAGAGAAGAATTTAGGAGTCTTCTGACTGGACCCCTGTGAATATTTCTGTGGCATGAGGGGAAGAGAAGAAGCTTACTTGTTAATATTAATGTGTCTGCTATGTACCAGGCACTGGGCTAAGCAATTTATAAATATTATCTCATTCAAAGATGGTAGAGGACCAGAATGGAGGGGAACACAGCCCAAAGAAGAAATTTCGCCCTCCTCACCTCCCAATACTTCTAAACAATTCTAATTCTCTAAAATGTGCTGAGATGGGTTTAATGGAAAGAGTTGGTAGGAAGGTAAATTATTCCCCTTTGATGAGGTGCCCCTTCATTGATACTTGAGAGCACTTGCTTTTGGCAAATTTGCTATAATAAGTTTATCTTTTTTACTCTAGTCATCATCTGAAAATAGCAATTTGTTCTGTGAAACCAAGGTGAGTAGTGTTATATCTACTGCTGGGGGGTGAAGAGAGGCAAGGGGAGGGGAGAGACCATGCAGTAGGATGGAAGTGCAGCTGTTGAACCTGGGGAGGCAACGGTTAGAGATGGTTCTTCAGTATGGACTGAGAGCCCCTGGGCTGGATCGATCACATTTTAGGAAGGTAGACAGGGTTCTTGAAGGAGTGGAGTGATGAGTATGCAGGAACCTTCTGGAAGACCATGACTTTGATCTGATCACAAACCTTAAGTAAGCCTCACTGAAGTTAGAGGGATCCTTTCACCTGAGAATTTCTGGGATATGGACGGGGGGGCTGATGCAGAGAGGGAGCTGCGGGACGAGGAGGGATGGAGGCACGGGAATCACTGCTCAGAATTCAGGATGGGGCTGGGAGGGGGCTAGGGCGCCACCTATGGTTTCCACTCCGACAGTGAGCCTTGGTCTGAGACCAGTCGGGCTAGGGAAAAAGGAATTTCGGAGAAGCTGGTAGCGTTTTCTTCTCATGGGCTCTCAAATTGTTCTCTTTTTCCTCCCTCTCCTCCTGCTCCTGGTTCTGCTCTTCCCTTTCCACACACTCATTTACTCTCTCACCCCTCCTACTCCCTCTGCGCTTGCTTTTCTTGTTCCACTTCCTCTCTTTCTCTACCACTCCTCAGCTCCTTTCCTTCCATTTCTCCCCTTTTCTCCCTCCCCTGCCACTCATTTCCCTAGCTTTCTCTTTTGTGGACTTTCCCCTTTCTTTGTTTTCACTTTCTCTTTCAATCCTTTCCAAAACAGAGTGGTTGTCTAACTGTCATAGAGCAGCTTGCCCACAATTGGTCAAACAACTGTTCCTCTGAAATGGGGGAAACTGTTGAAGATTTCGTGACTAGGACTCGCATTGCCCTGAAGAATTATTGTCCAGTCTTCCAGGGAAATCAGGTACAGGCTGGCACCGATGGGGGTCCAGTCCTCCATCATCAATACCTTAAGCTTTGGGGCTAATACTTATGCAGTACTAACTGAACAGGAATTTCTGACCTGGTGCTTCTACAAAGGAGTTGTTTTGTTTCTCCCCTCTTTCCTCCCTCTCTCAACACCCCCCACTCTCCACTGAAAAATAACTATGCTTCCAAGAACATTGCAATTGTATGTGTTGAACAGAAAGTGGATTGAACCTGCGGTGGAAAGGCAAGAACTACAGTAGGGGAAGGTATTCTCTCAGCTAGATCAAGAAACTGATACTCCTGAGGGTGACTGATGAAGGAGATAGTGTGGCAGTATGAAAAATGCATGGCTTCAGGGGTTTTCAGTTAGACTTCCAGCTCTAGAACTTCAATTGAGCTTACTTGCATTAAGCACATTAAGACACAAAGTGACACTGGGTAAGTCACCTTACTTTACCTGGAAAGGTTACAGTTTTCCCATTTGTAAAAGAGGGGTGGGATAAGATGATCTCTAAAATCCCTTTCAGCTCTAAATCTGTGTCTCTATGGATATTCTTTATGCCTTAAGAGAGTCTAGTCTTTCACTCTTTCCATTTTATTAACCTTCAGTGAAGCTGTACAGGGTATCTTTCAACCTTCCTTCAAACTAGACAGTAGCTTTGAAAATTGCTTGTGGTTGTGTTGCAGGCTTGTGTGTATCTTAAAGCTAAGTTCTTTGCTAAAACACAACAATATTTTGCACATATTTTTCTAGGAAGGAAGGAGGGAATGAAGAAGAGAAGGAAAGAAGGAAGGCAAAATTAGTGGTGTTGTCTGCAGGCAAATGAAACAAAGATAATTCCAGGATTAAAAAAAGACTGTAAAGCATACATAAGGCACAAAATGCCCTCATGAAATTTATATTCTCTTTGGTTAAGCACAAACATAGATAATTATAATACTATACAAGTCCAGTACCAGCAGAATACTCCTAGTTAATAACTTGTGGCACCTTTCAGAATGTGACCCTCAAGAAGTACCTGTGCCCATGACTTCTCTCTGTATATCCTTGTTTTTGGGGTATGGCTGGAGGCATAGAAGGGAAGAACTGGTTAGAATATGAATATAAGCTAATTTTATCATAACATTTCATAACAGCTGGCATTTTAATAGTGCTTGTCAAGATGTAAAACTGTGATTGGGAATGTGCAGGCTGGTAATGTCTATCAATCAGTCAGAAACAGTGTGGTAGTAATGGAAAGAGCTGTGGAGCCAGCAGCCAAAGATCTGTGTCCAAATCCTCAGTCTACCTGTTATTAGCCAGTGTGACAGAGGCCTCATTTGTAAAAAGTGGATTAACTCTTGCACAACCTGCATCACAGGACTGCTTTGAGGAAAATATATTGTGAGCTTACATAAATGTGAGCTATTATTATTTCCCCTAAAATGATTATAGCCTGGTCTGAGGGCATATGACTCTGGGGAAGTGACAATCTCTGCCTCAGTTTCCTCTATTGTAAAATGCAGATAATAATAGCACCTACTTCACAGGATTGTTGTGAGGGTCAAATGAGATAATATTTATTATTATTTATATCATATTACATATACTATACAGCACAGTGCTTGGTTAAGGTATATAATTATTGTTGTTCAGTCACATCTGACTCTTACTTTGCCATTTCCTTCTCCAGTTCCTTTTACAGATGATCATATTGAGGCAAAAAGGTAAATTGACTTGCTTAGGGTCACATAGCTAGGAAGTATCTGAGGCCTGATTTGAACTTAGGAAGATATTTTCCTGACTCCGGGCCCAGGACTCTTTCCACTGCTCCACCTAGCTGCCCCAGTGCCACATAGCTGCCTAGCATATAGTAAGTGCAAAATAAATATTTATTCCCTTCCCCTTATTATAGCAAGATCATGAAACAGAATCCAGAAACTAGAGTGGTTGCAGGCATGCAGACAGTGGTCAGGAACCAAATCAGCTGAAGACCTATTTGGCCTCTGATTCTATATGTCATGGAGCAGCTTGCAATCTTCATATATCCAACCCAATTTTCATGTATCAGGTGGTCAAGAAACCTTTATGGATTGAAATGAATCCTCACAGGTGGAATAAGACAATGACAATATTGACAAAAAGAGAATGATCGAGTGCCAGTAAGACCATGATACAGGCTAAGACGAAGCAATCCTAGATGATTCTTTGTACTATAGTTCCAAGTTCAAGGGAGAGATTAAGACCAATAGCACTATGTCTTTAATACTCAAAAAGTCATGATTTCATCAGTTTGGCTATACTTCTTCCACACTTTAATTAATGATTTTATGAGTTATTGTGGTTAAAAAAAAATCACTTCTTGACCAATTCTCTGGAAATGAGATTTTCTACTCTGAGCTAGGCTGGATCAGCCACTGAAGTAGGGTTTTAATAGTAGAACAGAACTACAATCCAGGAAATAGTGGACCAAGATGATTAAAATGAAGTCATACACAGAGAAATTATTGAAGGTTTTTGAGTTCCTAAATAACATCTTTTAGCACAGATGAGTAGGTCAACCTGCTCCTTCATTCAACAAGTATTTACTGATCACTGACTATATGCTAGTTTGGATATAAATACTTTTTCAGCTCTTGACATGTGCAAAATATTGTACTCAGATCCGGGAGAAGGGGTATGATTATTTACTAAACATCAGTAAATAAGGAAGTATATAGTTAAGTGACAAGTTGTAGGAGTTCTGAGGAGAACCAGAGCAGTGAACAGAGATTTCATGGAAGAAGTGTACCTTAAGCTGGCCTTTGAAAGATGATTCAGGTTTACATAGATTGGGGTAAAAGGTACAACAGCAAAACAGTAAAAGACACAAAGGAAGTGAACACTGATAAGATGACATTGATCTGACTACAGTAATAAAAGTATTAGCCACCCTGGAAATTTTGGTCTGTATGGAAAAAGGCCTGAAGGATACAACAAATTCCTGGGAGAACCTGGGATGGCAAGATCAATTCTAGAGCTGACCTGAAGGGTTTAAATCTCTTTTGAGAACAGTCTCATGGGAACCCCAAAAGTCTTAGAACAAACTTCCAATAGCTCTAAAATATTCAGTTGATTCCACAACCTACTCTGTGTTATTAGGATTTTTTAGACCAAGGATGACTCTGAAGTGGCCTATTTTACTCCTTTTATTTTTCCTTTTCCATCTGGAGATCACCAAATAAAAAGATAACAATAACTGACATTTATATAATCATATATAGGTTTGCAATGTGCATTATGTACATTATTTCATTTGTTTCAAAGCAACTTCTCTTATTATCCCCATCTTACAGATGAGGAAAATTAGGCCTACAGATGTTAAGTGATTTGCCCAGGGCCATACAACTAAAAATGTCTGAGACTAGATAGGGTGCATGTTGGGGCTCAAATGTTCTTAAAGCTAAACAAAGGTAATTTTATAACATGAATATTAGTATTCATTTTATGTTGTCTTGTTCCACAGGCAAACAACATGCAAGCACCAAAAAAGAATATGGAAGAAAGAATTAAAAAAATGACATGCTCTGAAATAGCTAGAAATTTATTAGAAATTTGGAGAGAATACTGGAGAGAAACAGAAAAGTCAGGTATGTACACTTTCAAAAAATGCTTTGATCTCTTTAAGATGCTGTCAATAGTTTTTCTTGTTAATTATAAAACTTTTAGGAGTGTGTTTTGTAAACATTTTAATATGTGTTTTCATCTGGTTAGGGGAGAGGTGGCCTCAGCAAAGCAGGCTCCCTGGACCACCAGAAAAATGCTGGAGGAAATTTCTCTAATAATTAGCTACTACCAAGCCGTGGGCTGTGATTCTACACAGTACAGTGATTCCACTTTGGAACTCCACAGAAGTGTGATTCAAATGGAAAATAGGAGAGTGGAAAGGGGTGATCAGGGATTTTCTGATACTTTGATAAGAGAATAAAATCAGGCTCCAAAAATTTTTTTAAATGTGCACCTTCCAAATCTTGTCACCATCTTCTCTTATGTTTCCATCACCTTGCTCGTCTTCACTGAATGTTTCACTATCTTGAAATTATGTGAGTTGTTCTGAATTATGGTGAGTTATTTCAGGAAAAGCAGGCTCCTAAGCAATATGTATATAATCTATGCAAAATGCAGTAATGACAAATAATGGTAATGTTCATATGATTTGAAAATAAATTATTGATTTTATAGTAATCCTATCCAAATAATTTTATGTTTTTAGATCCATTATAGTATATTTTTTCTTATGTACCTTTTTGAATAGTAAACCTATGAGGGAAGAAGATATCAGAAATAGTTGTTAAAGAAAAAAAAGCTTAATGAATGTATCTAAATTTCAAAATATTTCTTAAAGTAAGTCATTTCACTGAAGCATATTATTAATTTTGTATTCTTACTTCACAGCTAGAAGAGGGAGGAAAAGGAAGAGAAGACAAAGTCTGAATAAGTGATATAAAACTACTGAAAAGAACTTGCAAGGAGAAAAAATGTAGCCACATTTTTTGCTCAGATTTTTAAAATTCTTGGAACAATAAGAATGATGAGGTCATATATGCATATCAATCCTGAAAAATACCTTTAATGTTTATAAAGATTATTTATATTTTTGAAACATTTACAGAGTAGATTTTTAACTTGTTTTGTGAACACTTAAAAAAATGAAAAAAATGTGTTGTCCTGTACTGTCATATAGGTCATTATAATGGTTTTGCTGAACTGCTCTTTTCCTTTTTTTTTTACGTTTTTTGTTACTAAGGTTACTTTAAAAAAACATTTTGTTATTAGAGCTAACTGGGAAGGAGAGGGAAGAGAGATATATTTGGAATTTAATGTGAGGTAGAAACAAAAAGAAAATAATATATATATATTCAGAGATATTTCAGAAGAGATTCCTTGCATTGGATAATTGACTAAGTGACCTCTAATGAGCCTGAAGCTAAGATTTTATGATTCTATTAATTAGTTTGCATGAATAAATGTTTCTAGGTGGAGCAGTGGATAGAGGGTTGGACCTGGGGTTGGGATGACTTAAATTCAAATCTGGCTTCAGACACTTACTAGCTGTGTTACCCTGGTCAAGTCACTTTTGTTGCCTCAGTTTCTTCTACTATAAAATGGGATAATAATAGCACCCACCTCTCAGGGTTGTTGTGAGGATCAAGTGGCTCATAATAAGCACTATATAAATGTTAGCAATTATTATTATTATTATTACATTAGCTATTATCTCCTTTTAATATTCAGAGGTGCTGGGCTTTTTTCCTGCTTTTCCTAACTCGCCATCAAAACTGTATTATGTGTTTAATTTGATTTCTTTTTATACTAGTTTATGTATTTAGAGAACTAAATCGACCTCATCTCTGTCCTCCAGGGGTTTCCAGTATGTATAATAACAACCTTCTTGAGGCTTACTTACTAACCAATTCTTACCACCTTGCCAGGATAGTTGCTGTGGTACCTCCTATACTCCCCTACCAGAATGCTTCCCCTTAATGAGCTAGGAGACTCAGTTAGCAAAGACTAATTGAATGTCATAGGTAGGACAGTCGTTACAAAGTATTTCCCCCAAACACTGCAGGAAAATAGATAGTGAAAAACACAGATACGGGACACAGAGGGTTAAGGCAACTCAAAACTCCAGTACTGCAAGGCCCCACTGGCCCCTTCCTCGGAGGGTCTCACAAAGTTGACTACAAGTCACTCTGCTGTTCAGCTGGTCTAGTTCTTTGCTGACTCTTTTTCCTTCCTTCCTCAATAAGCTCAGTGACTGGCCCATAGTCTTTCTATCCATCCAAACTCCTGCATTCATACTAAGGGACTTGCATATATATATATATATTTTTTTTTTTTTTTTCTCAAACACCCTAACTTCCCAGTTTCTCAATATACTCATTTCCCAAAACCTATTCTTCCACTTCACCTTATCTACATACAGAAATGGTCATATTCTAGCTCTATCACCCACAAGTGTTCTACTTTCATGTTCACAAACTCTGAAAATCTCTTATCTGATCATATCTGTTGCCATCCCATTTTGCCCTCTGCTTCACAGCCCCTAACCTTGTTTTCCATCCTCACCTTTGTGGTGTGTAAAAATGTCACAAAGGTAAACTGAGGCAAGTTTTCCTGGCACCATAAGAGTTTATTAACAGTGAAACATGTAAGTATTAATAAAATAGGTCAAACTGTCTCTGCCTCAGTAGGTCAGTGACCATAATGGGACTGAAAAGATCATATTTATTGGGACCCCAGAGAAGTGGGGGAGTCGGCAGTAGAAAAGCTTTATTATTAACTGTCACCAGGGAAAGTGCCTGGCCTTCAGATGTAGCTGATCACACCCCTCTCTGACAATTAATTACTTTATGAGACTCAGCTGCCTCTAGTAATCTTGGCTAGAAAAAACAAAAACACCCCAATCAGGATTCCCCTGGTTAATCTTCCCCTTTGAGACCAAGTCACCCTTAACTTTATTGAATAAACATGACAGCAGAGCCATCCCCAGGGGAGGGACTCAGCCTAAGCAGGTTCTCTGGTTTGTAAGTAAACAGAAGTGAGGGTGTCACTTTAAACTGGTCAGCAAATCACTGCCGTGGGGGTTAGGAGTGATCACATTACTCAATCTTGCCTTTAGTTTGGCCTGGAAGAAGTCTCATTTTGAACTAGACTGAGAAATGGGGTTTGATAAAATGGGGAATAGTATGGGTTACAGAGTAATATTGGTTATTAAATAATACAGCATGATATTAATTTCCTCACCATAATAGCTAATCCCTTCACACCTGCATTCTTCCCCCAGTCATCACCTCTACAATCTCTTCTTTTCTTTCTTTTCTCCATCTTGATCTATTGGTGAACCAGTTCAACACTACAATGCTGTCTTCCTAGTCAGTGAATAAACATTTATTAAGCACTTACTATGTACCAACAAACATTTAAGCACCTACTATGTACCAGGTACTGTGCTAAGCACTGGGGATACAAATGAGAAGGTCCCTGCCCTCAAGAAGCTTATAATCTAATGAAGGAAAATAAAAGGAGGCTAAAAAGCTGGGGGGGGGGGTGAGAAGGGGGCAGAGGGTACCCGATAGTGATATGTTCACATTGACAGAGTTGAAACCAAGCAGAGAAGCTTACGGGAAATAAATTTAGCAAATTCTGAGTCCTTTATAAAGGAGATGCTTTGGGAGACGTTTATAATCCATTCCTCCAGCCCTCCAGCACAGGAGAGGCAGCTGAGGACGATGTTGAGTTTCAAAGCTGAATCAATCTCCATGATGATTAGATTTTAGGTAATGAGCTTTTCTGGGGGAGGCGTGATCTTCCTGGAGTTAAAGACAAGCAGAGCTGCTGATAGGATACAAAAAAAGGGAAAAAAAAAAGTTTCTCCTCTCAAGGAGTTCCCAATCTAATGAGGGAGACAACATGTAAAAAAAACAAAACAAAAAACAAAATCCAACACATATATGTATATATACACATATATATGTTTACACACACACATATATGATAAATTTAAATACTTCAACTTGAAAAGGCTACAAGTCGAGTCTAAAGTGAATAGAATGTTGGCGCATAATTTTTTGTTTGTAGATGATTGTGCACTCAATGCAGCCTCTGAATTGGAGATGCAACAAAGTGTGGATCGATTCTCTGCTGCTTGTGATAGTTTTGACCTAACAATTAACACCAAGAAAACACAGAGGCTCCATCAGCCAGCACCACACCATCCATATGTAACCATCGGTTACAGCAAACGGAGTGTTGAATATGGTGGATAAGTTCACTTATCAGTATACTTTCCAGGGATGTACACATTGATGATGAGGTTGACACACACATTGCCAGAGCTAGCTTAGTGTTTGGGAGGCTCCAAAGGAAAGTGTGGGACAGAAGAGGTATGAGACTGGTGACCAGACTGAAGGTCTACAGAGCTATTGTGCTGACCTCACTGTTGTATGCCATGAAACCTAGACAGTATACCAATGCCATGCCAGGAAACTAAAAATGCTTCCATTTAAATTGTTTTAGCAAGATTCTGAAGATCACCTGGCAGGATAGGATACCAGACAGTGAAGCCTTTTCTTGAACTAAACTGCCAAGCATTCAAACTCTACTGCAGACAGCACAACTCTGCCAGGCTGGCCATTCCAATGCCAAACGTACACTTGCTAAGAAGATTTTTTATGGAGAACTCACACAGGGCAAGTGCTCACATGGTTGTCAGAAAAAGGGATACAAGGACACTCTTAGGTCTTTCTTAAGAACTCTGGAATTGATTGTGTGACATGGGAGACACTGGCATGGGACCGCCCAGCATGGCGTTCCCTCATCAGAGAAGGTGCTGTGATCTATGAGCAAAGCAGATTGAAGCAACTCAAAAGAAACTTGAGACATGCAAATTTAGAGAATCTGCCCCAAAGGTTCACGTGGACTATTTGTGCCTGACCTGTGGTAGAGCATTCCAAGCTTGTATTGACCTGATTAGCTGTAGTCTGACACACCATAACTTGACTCTAACATAGTGATGCCATTTTGGTCCTCTTTGAGAATGGAGGACAACCACCACCATCACCACCACCACTAAATTTTAGATAACAGAAAGAAGACACTGGAGTCCCTTGCCTCCTTTCTTGTTGATCTTCCCTGCCAAGCCTCAAGTTTGGAATATACCCACCAGCCATTGTATTGACTCATTCATATGCTAATGAATAAGAATAAGAATATGATTTTTTTTTAAGAGAGCTAGAGAAAATTTCAAAACTATGTTGACTAGGTCCACTACAAATTTATGTTACATAATTTCAACTGAGCCTTCACTGTGGCAAGGCAATCCTTTTACACCTACCCAACTGATTCATTATCCTACTCCCTAAACTTTTCCAAGACTTTTCATCCCTCCTCAAACTTTTCATGTTTTTCCCTCATTTCGCTTGCTTAGCTGAGAAGCCTTCCTTCACTGAAAAATATAAAGCCATTCACTGACAGCTTCCTTCTTTTTCCCTCCTCCCCATCTTATTACTCAGCTGCCTTCTTCCACTGACTCCTTCACCTTTGTCTCATTTGAAGGCCCTTCTTGCCAAGGGCCTACCACTTGCCCTGCAGTGATCTCATCCAATCCATTCCATTTTCAGTATATTGCTTCCTCTATTATCCCCACTCTCTCACTAATCTTCAATCTCTGCTTGTCTACTGGCTACTTCCCTACTGCCTACAAACAAGCCTCCTCCCCCACCCCCCAACCCGTACTTTATCCATTCATCTCTGCTTGCTACTATTCTATATCTCTCCTTTTCGTGGCCAACCTCTGATAAAAACATTTATAATTGGTGTCCCTACTTCCTTTCCTTTCTTTCTTCATAACTCTCTGGAGTCTGACTTCTGACCTCATCATTTCACAGAAACTCCTCTCTCTAAGGCACCAACGATCTCCTAATTGCTAAATATGCTGACCTTTCTTTTCTCACTCCTCAGTGTTCCTTTCTACTGCCTTTGACACTGTTAGAAACCCTCTTCTCCTGGATACTGTTTTCTGTCCAGGTTTTTGTAACACTACTCTTTCCTG